ATGAAATACGGTTGGTAAAATGAGGTTCTACTGGTAATCTCATCATTCTGTCTTTGTAAAATTACCAAGAATAGTGAGATGGCAAAGATATCGATGGACCTTGGTAAAAACGCCGATATTTTTTATCGCCTGTGGTAGAATTACAGAGATAAAATGGTAAATTAAGTTACCGGGAATTGATTACGAATAAAAGTGGTATTCTTACCTGGAAAAATCAGTAAAAATACCGGTCTGCCTTTCTAACATTACCAATGATTGATAAAAAAAAGAGATGGTAAAGTTACCAACGGACCTTGGTAAAAACGGCAGCGGCGGCGGCATAGAAACATGTTTCATAAGCGTCATTCATGCGTTAGTAGGCGTTGATGAAAAATTGCAATTTATTGCAATTTTATCTCTATAAAATCGCGTTCGATAAAATCGCGATTTTATTGCAATTTATCGCGATTTTTCTCCCGATAATATTGCGATGATTCGCCGTCGATAAAATCGCGATTTTTTTATCCGATAATATTGCAATAAATCGCGACGTCGATAAAATCGCGATATATTCTCCGATTAAATCGCAATTTATGGCGATCACTACTACTCGGGAATTGCAGCAGCAAATCCAAAAATTGTTACGCATCACCGCCACTCTTTAATTTAAATATCAAACCGACCTGTGGCCTTTTATCAAGGTTAATATAAATACATCCCGTTTTATTAATGACAAACCTATTATATTTCGTTTATATTATATTATATTCTATCCTATTTGCTTTCCATCCATTTTATTTTATCCCATATAAACCGTTTCAAACTGATTATTCACCTTTTTTTAAAACTCCAACCTTAATTGAAGTAAGTTTTTAGCTAAATTGAAGATGATCTTTTGAATGAATAAGCACTTAACAGAACTTCAGCAGTATTAATATTAATACAATTTACGAGAATAATGTAAATTAAAAAAAATTAAGTGATATTTTCATAACGAATTGACAGAATATACGAGGGGGTTGGGCCGCGGAGCGGCCAGGGGGCGGAGCCCTCTAGTTGTTAATCAATTTTTTTTAGAAAAAAGCTACACACAGTTTTTGTAGAAGTTTCCGAGAAATTCCCAGAATGATTTGAAATAAAACCACAAAAAATTTCGACGCGATATTTCCGTTAGTTCTGTTTTCTTTTTATTAAACCAAAATTAATTTTACAAGAATCAAGTTTCAGAATCACTGCATCGTTAAAACATCGTCCGAGTTGCTGACTCGTTGCAATTAAGATACTTATTTACCCTTTAATTGTGGCAAAAACCGGACAGGGGCCGTCAAAAAAAATTACGCGTGGTCCTAGTTTAGCGGCCATTTTAGCGTCGCGCAAGCCAGGGAAGGGAGTTCAGTCGAGTGTCGAGTCACCTTCACAATGCGATGTGCTTTCAATCTAGGTAGCGGCAATGTGCCTGTGCCTGTAGTCGAGCAGGTATCGCTAGAAACTCTCGCATTGCGTTTGGTGCAATGTAAGAAGTATTCACGCAGTCTTGTAGGCGCTAATATGTCTTCGACGCCGACCGCACTGTTTGGCGCAATGCGCGAAGTATTCCAGCAGTCTTGCAGGCGCTGTGATGAGTTTGACGTCGACCGCACCGTGTTTGGCGCGATTATTCGAACTCGCGTTAGGATAATCGAGGCATCGAACAATGGGGCGTAAAAAGCCCATGTTGTGTTTCGACGCCGTATGAGCAGCCCAACGTTGCCTCGTTTCTCTCTATAAAACATTTTTGCTGAAAAAAGTTAGAAAAGTTTTCTATGTTCGCTTGTTTAGATTGAATGGACCATTAAACAAGTTAAGAATTTAAACACTCTGATACATGATTCTTCAACAGAATTTCACGCAGAACACGACTCGCGCAACGAAAACTACTGAAGTCAATTTCTAGCTCAGCTATTAACGTTTTTACCTACCTCCCTGGCTATGCTTATGCTGGAGGTATACAGGAAATGTTCGAATGGGGAATTTTATATAACCCTGGTGATCATTTCACTTTATCCTTTGATGATCCAAAAGTTATTACCGAAATTTTAAAGCGAGGTAAACTCCTGGTCTCCGACGTAAATAGTATAGTTACTGATGGTCGTAATAAATAAACTAACTATAGTATACCTAGGACCTGGAAACTAAGATCTACCTTGACCTCTCAACTCTGATTAGGTACCTGTGAGATATCTTATGCGTTGGTCCAACCGTATCGACAGATGATAGGACCATGTTTTGTTTTTCCAGTCAGTAGGTACTTATTGGGTGGGTGCGTTGAGTATGATTCGAAAATCAGCGACTTGAACCTAAAGCTAACGCATAGGCGGTTCCAGACCTTCATGCTTGGGGGTACCCAGAGGTGGAAAATGTCGGAGGCCGGCTCCGAAGGGGACGGTTGCTCAGGGGAGGCCTAAAGTTTCGGCCCTCAAGTTTTATCCCTTTCCTACCCTCCTTTCTCTTTTTCTCTCCTTCCTTCCTACTTAAATACCTATAAATTCAACGTAGAAAATTTTTAGCAAAACAATCCATCAAAACTACAATCATGCCATAAAAAAACAGTAGAATCTTTGTAAAACACGACTATCAATATTAATTCTGTTTACAAAATTTTCAATTAATTGCTGGGTTTTTTCTTTCAGTGTGAGCGAATACAGAATCTTTAAAATCAGTAATTTCACAGTTCTGATAACCGTACTTAATTTTTGCTTGGGGGTATGGGGGTGCCCAGCACCCACTGGCACCCTCGTAGAACCGCCTATGAGCTAACGTATGTAGAAGGGGCGAAAAGAGGTGACCATTTTTGCATTGCACTCGTTGCAATCGCTGTTCATTTATAGCGAGGCCGAGGAAGGGTGAGCTTTGGGAGTGGTTTGGAGAGGAAGGGATGATGCACCGGCCGACGCCGACCTCATGGGTAGAAGGGTGCGGAGGGCGAGAAGACGCCAGCAGCGAAGACTTTTCCATCCATGCAGCCAGCGCAGCGCCTTGTGCTAGCGCCATGAGGGAGAGGTTGCCTCGCTCATTACGTCACTTGGTACCTAGCCCCGCCCTTCCTCAGCTGCACACTCACACACTCACCTCCTCGGCCGGTTCATCGTTCGAGTCAGCATTTACGTTTTCAGTGATCCCCTCGTTCCGCGAACGCGTATCGGCGTTTCAGACCTCGTTTCCCCCTCCCAGTTTCCCCGTTAGTCGCGATTTTAGTGCCCTGAGGATACGTGTTTCTTGAATTTTAGTGTTTTTAACGTGTTGAAACTTATTTCATTACCAAGTGCGCCGGTGATAACTCATTGTTCAACGTTGAGGACTGGTGCTTTTACCAAAGTCCCCAAGACAACGCGAGTTGCTCCTTGAAGATCACCTGTGCTCTACAGAGTTCTCAGTCCTCCCCTTATCTCAGTTTCGCGAAAGTCTATTATCCGTTCGTTGCTTTCGTTCAGTGGTTCTACGCAGTATCTGTCAAACCGATTTCTCTCTGAACTGTCACCTACTGGTCTTGAATTCTCGGTTTTACATCTTGAGATCGTCTCGCCGGGAATACGGTTTGTTTTTTCCTTGTGATTGCAAAGTGCAAGCGTTCAAGATGCTACAATGCACTCATCCTAAGTGATCGCGATCGGTTTTTTAGCTTTTCGCATAGTTGGGGGCTTGGTCCAATTCTCATTTGTTTACGACGAGGATCCAATGGTAGAATTTTCATGAGATTCATTCAATGTTTTATTTATCAGATGGCCGCGATGCATCCTAACCCTAAAATTAACCTTCCAAGAGGTTCGTTTGTTTTGTTTAGATGCCCAACACATTCATCTCTAGACGTACTTACTCATGTGTTTTCTTTGTGACAAGAGACATTATTGAGATGTAAACTGCTCCGTGCGGTCCTACTCTGTGTAAGTTTTTAGCTGTTCGGATCACTATTTTTATGAAATTTTTTTGGGCTGGAGTAAGACGAACATTAATCCTGGAACCCTTAAGGCAGGGCAATGCCGCAATGTGCTGTTACAACATGTCGAAATGCTTATCATAGAACGAGGGGGAAAGTGTGTTATCATCGGTTTCCTCAAGAGGAAGACGTGCGTGATAAGTGGATAAAAATCATCGGCTGTAATGACTCCAAAAAGCCCCTGAACCTTACCTCTGCACGCGTGTGCTCATTACACTTCTCTCCTGCTTGCTACGATCGTGACATAACCCACGAATTATTCGGTCTGCCTGAGAGGAAACGCCTAAGGAAAGGAGCTGTACCTGATCGTCATATTCCGAAACAACCTTCTCAGAGAGGTAAAAACCGATCCAATCCCAGCACTGGAAGTCGAACAAACAGTGGTGGGAGAAAAACTGCAGTGTCGCGCAGAAAACCAAAGTTTGACTCGGATATATATATTGACATTACTTCGTTCGGGAAGATAATAAATAAAGTGATTGTTCCAGAGATTACTGTTGATGTTAGTCAGTTAACCAACAATTCCTTTGGCGTTTTGATTGCCCTCGGACTTCATCCTAACCCTGAAAGGTAATTTTTTCCCTTAATCAACAATCTAATATAACTCTCTACTTATTGTAGGCCTTTACTAAATGACAGAATTGGCAAAGGCCTCTTATTGCCATAGGAAATTGTATCAAAACCTTGTGTCACTGTGTTCAACACAAGGCTCAATCTTGTGTGTGTGTGTTGTAGAGGAAGCACAAATTAAACGTGCCTGGCTCTTTGAAACATCCAAAGAAGTTTGAGACGGAGTCTCTATGATTTAGAGAGAAAATGCATCGAGTATTTTTATTTGTGCCAATCATAGTCTATTTTTCAAGGTTTCTCTGATTGCATGTTCAGCATCGATTCCATCGATTCTTTCACAACCCTGAAGTATTTAGGTACATACTTACTCCATTAACTATGCATTATTCTAGCATTTTTTTTTCGACTTCTACTCATGTGCTGGATGAACAACAGTGGGGTGCAGCAAAACTCATTACTCCTATGGATGTCCACCTCTCAAATGCGGGTAACAGGAACCGTTAAGCAACTGTATTCCATAAGAATGCAACTGACCATGCTTAGGGACTGGCTAGCAATAAGTTCATTGTTCATCACCTTCTGTTGCGCCTGTATTGAAAGAAAGGACCCATATGGATTTGGATAACCTCCAACTTCATGAGAAAATTTTGATCACCTCTTAAATTACTTACTGATTTTTAGGTTCTGAAAATTCTTTTCAGGTACAGGCTTTCAAAGTATGCGGAAGTGACATAGTTGAAAGGAAGTATGAATATGAAAGGGTTGAAATCAGGGAGGCTTGATTGCTCTGCAACATTTCAAGGTTTCATCTTGGAACCTATTTTTTACTCATCATCAGGAGTGTGTTCTATCGAAACAAATTCAGAAAATCATATATCGACGGTGAATGTCGGTAATCACATAACTCAGTTTGCGATGTTGCAGACTTCCTGTCATATTTTATTTTTTAAACAAAAAACTATTAAAGGGCAACTCTTTAAAACTGCCGTGAATTTTCTTCTCTGTGCAAAAAAAATTCTGCCAAAACTTCAAGGAATGATATCAATTTGTTCCCCTTTTAAAATATAATGTAGAGGAGATTTTCAGACACCGCAAACGAGTTACATGTTTGCCAACTTACACCGTCAAAATGTAGTATGATAAAAAATAAACATAAATTCTGCAACTATTCTGAGTTCATTTCTATATTGCTATTTGGAACTGTGCAATGTTGTGTGGCAATTAAGCTCCTCCGTTCCTAGGTATGACTTAATGTTTCCTGATATCAGTTGTGTCACTGCGAAGAAATTAATCGTTACCTAATCTGGTTTTTCCTTGTACAGTACAGAACAGACTTAGGCTGTAAACCTTAAAATAAGAAAATTCGTTGTTTAGATAAGTCGCGCCAAAGAATGGTTTTGGAGCCTTTAGACCACCTCCCATGGTTAAGTGATTGTAGCTAAGCTCTATGATCAGGAGGTCTCAAGCTCGGCTCCTGGCTAGGCAACCCAAGTTTGATGGTCTCCAACATTAGTTGCCCGGGGCTGGTTGTTGAGGAGGTTTAAACTATAGACTCGGAATTAGCCCCTCTGGGATACCCACTTGAAGTTTTAAAAAAAAAGATTTTTTTATTTTTGGTACATTTGATGTCTCAAAGAGAGACTGGAATTTTCTGATAGCTCCTTATGGCTACACAAGTGGACCACAGAAGTGGTTGAATATAAGCATCTATCAGGATTGAACTTGGTTGGTATGATGATTGTTTTAGTATGCATCAAACCAGTTTCATAGAAACTTCTGTTGGAATACTTAGAGGTGTTGATTTTTTTCAGCCCCTCCTCCCCTACCCCCTCTCTCATGTAGCCGGATCTTTTCATCTAATTTATTTCAGCACTCAACAGGAAAATTCACAACATTTCTCTCTTGCAGTTCGAATTTTCAAATGTTG